CTTCCCAATTTGTATACTTTGGGATGACAAATGTCTAACTCAAGGGATGCCTCTTGAGTGTGTTGAGATATGAAGAAGCAGATGGAGCACTGAGGTACACTGCTGGAGGGCCTGCCTCAGTGCTATTTCTTCTAAGAATTAAACACCCTGCGGGAAAGAGGAGGTTGTAGCAGATATTTATTGAGTTTTATAGTTCTCAGTCCAAGAAGAGGAAACATGAAGCTGGGCATGGTGGCACACACCTTTAATCCCAGCACTTGGGAGGCAGAGGCAGGTGGATCTCTGTGAGTTCAAGGCCAGCCTGGTCTACATAGAGAGTTCCAGGCCAGCTGGGGCTACAGGGAGATCCTGTCTCCCCCCCCAAAAAAAAAAAGAAAGGAAGAAAGAAAGAAAGTAAGGAAGGAATGAAGGAGAGAGAGAAAGAAAGAAGAAAGAAAGAAAGAAAGAAAGAAAGAAAGAAAGAAAGAAAGAAAGAGAGGAAAACTGTACGCCAGCCATGGGTTTTGAGCAGCTACTACCCTATGGCTGGGGACTTTCATTCTCTGTAGTTGTCCCACTTCTGCAAAAGAGTGTAAGGCCACCAATAGCTGAGTTCTTCACCCCCTGGGTCTCCTGCTACTTGGGCTTTATAACGTGTGTTTGTCCAGAACTCTCCTAAACCATGACTGCCTTGTACATCCATCTCTTACCCACGGGCTGTGGCATTGTTTCCCCAGTCTCTGACTTGTGATTGTTCTTCTTTTCAAGTACCCAGAGTAATAAGTCTGAAGCAATATGGCCCCTCTCAAGAGAATGCCAAAACGGGCTTCTTCTCCAATGTTAACTTGTCACACAGGAGTCAGTCTTACACCAGATTTCCCAAGTTCATTTAAAATTTTATGAAAACTGTGGCTTTGTCTTGTATCCAGGACTGACTGCCTCTCCCCACCCGGCCCCCCAGTACTGTCTGGCTTACTTCATGGAAGAGTTTTTGGCTCATGCCCCCACCATCCCTTCTGGGAAGCTGGCAGGACTGATTGTTCATTCTCCTTGCATGGATTTTCTATTTATCAGTTTTTTCAGCTATTTTACAATCCCTTTTGTGACTTCTGTTGTTCTCACTCTTCCTGTCTTTATCCTTTGTATCCCTGACTTTTCTAAATTCTGGCATCAACCCTCAAAGGTGGCTTCTAACCCAACATCTTGGAACACTCTCTTAGTTCTATAGTTTTATAAAGTATTACCTTTGTGAGAAATTGGATAAAAGTTACATAGGACCTCTTTATACATTTTTATTGAATTTTTGTGACCTTTATACAATTCGATGGTATTTAGATCTGCTCCCTTATCTGCACCTCCTCTTGTACTCCCCACCCAATTTAATGTACTCTATTATATATAATAAGACCTATACAGTCTCATTTGTATTCCCAAGTAAGACATCCTTATATTATTTCTTATAACTTCATGTGAAGTTACAAAGATTTTAATTTAAAAATTCACTTGAAAGAAAAACATAGCTCAAGAAACACAAGAACATTTGGAGTGTTTGGTCATTAGAACTCAATATAATATGATTTCAATCAACAACAAATTAAAGAAAACATAATGCACAACAGAATGAAAATGGAAGATTTGAATAATTATATTATGAACCAAAATAACACCATTCTAGGACTAACAAACAGAAATAAGTTTGCATAAAACAGTCATAACTGAAAATAGAATCGCTGGCATGTATTGTAATCATAGTGAATCAAAAGTTTAAAAAGCAAAGAGATACATCATGTTCAGGAAAACAAACACAATATAACTAGGTTGGTTAAAATCCTCAAAGTCTATGAAGGAACTAGTAAATTGTACAGAAAAGTTATTCAGAAATATAATACAGGGACATTTCCATGAAACAAGAGAAGAGCTGAATCCATAGACCAAAAGGTGCATACTGTGTTCTAGAAAAAATATTTAAAAGTGACTTATAATGAGGCTTATGCTTTTGATCATCAAGGATAAATAATTCTTTGGGTTTATAGACAGGAAGATGAGATATGTTCATAAGAAGGAAAAATGAGCCAAGTCTGGGATTCCACAGAAATATTTTATATCAAAATATAATGAAGCAAGTATAAAGTGTTGATGCAAATATATAATAACTACTCAACCACTTTTTCAAATAAAAAGGCAAAAGGCAGAACTCAGGGAACACAGCACTTGTAAGTCCTCCTAAAGTGTCAATCTAACAATGAGAAAAATCAAATTTAAAAATGCCCGAGAATAGAGAGTTCACAATAAAGGGAAGAATGGGGGCGCTGAATTCATTTAAGTAAATATATAGTTATACTCTCTCTATATGGACCTTAAATAGCTGAAGTAATGTTGATGATAGAGCAGCATGTACCAGTTAACAACATTCATGAAAGAAAGCCATAACCAATGAATATCTGGAATTTCAGGAGGAAAAGATAGGCAGAGATGTAATAGTGATAATCTTATCTTCCATAGTACAGAGTCAGGGAATCAGTATCTCTTGAGGCAAAACAATATTCATCCAAAGGTTGGCAATTCCTGTAGTTTAATTTCAGTCTTCTGTTAAATTCAAGTAAAATTAAATTCACTACTTTTTAATAAAACTGGCCTGCACACTAGGATCCCATCCTCATAAAAATCATTTTTATCTAGCAATCCATCTCTTTTCTGAATATGTGCATAGGGAGATGTCTGAAATAATGTTCACTAAATATTAACAGTAGTTGATTGTTTCTGGGTGTTGATATTTTGGGTCTAGCTTTTGCTTTAAAAATTTTATAATAATGGTAATTTGATTTTCATTTTTCAGAAGAAAGAAAATTTTTTGCTCTTTTTTATACTGGAATCAAATTTTGTCTCACATACCAGAACTTATAAATCTTTAGTTGGAATATCCTTTATGGAATGAAATGGCATCTCCCTCTTATGGAAGAATATGTATTTATCAATTATATAGTATGCAATTAGCACCCACAATATGCTTGAACAAAAACTGGGTCCTACAGGGAAAACATGGCTTATATTTTTAAAAGACCTTCCAGTTTAGTTGAACAGGAATAATACATCATATTAGGGAAGGGTTTCTTATCAGATGGTTATGTCAAAGTGAGAGCAGTTCAACTGTTCATATATCCAGAAGAGATGTATATACCAAGTACTGTTAAAGGTACAGAAGGCACAAAGATACATAAAGCACATTCTCTTAAGGAATTTATAATCCAGCTGGGAAGTCAAAACATGAGTATATAATTTTATTATATGCACAATATGATAATTACTAAAATGCAAATTTGCCACTGGTATAAATATGAACAGAAGAAAGAATAAAAGAAGCTACTGGCGTAGTTAGCACAGAAGCAGTATTAAGGTTTTAATGTGAACTGTCTCCTACAAGCTCATGTATTTGAATGCTTGGTTCCCCAGCTGATGGTGCTGTTTTGGGATATTATAGAACCTTTAAGAAGTAGAGCCTAGCTGGAAAAAATAGGTGACTAGGAGAGAGTGGGTCTTATGAGCTGTCATCTGGTCCTGCTTCCTGTCTGAGCTGTCCACTTCCTGATCTGCAGAAATATAAGCAAGTTGCTCCATGCTCCTGCTACCATGGAACCATCACGCCTTTCTCATTATGATGAATTATATTCCCTTAAACCATGATGCAAAATAGATCTTGTCTCCCTTAAATTGCTTCTTATTAGGTATTTGGCCACAGTCATAAGAAAAGTAAGTAATACAAAAATCAGTAAAGACAAAAAAACGGTGAGATGACTACAGCTTGTGTTTAACACTGCAAATGTTTTGTGCCAGCCTCTCACTGTTTCCCACATCTTACAGCATGCCATCATAAATGAGCCTTTGCCACTCCTCAAGACCATGATAGTCTTTGACAATTCAACTCGGTAAACAGTTGTGGCCCACTGTGCCAAGTCCTGAGCTGGAGATTCAAAAGTAAATAAAGTATACATAGTTCTTTCCTCAAAGAAAGGGAAGAGGGAGGCAATGAACATTTCTCAAAGACTCACTTGTACTGAACAGTATATTAGGAGATGCCTATGGAATTTCACTTCATTCTTTCAGTAAACCTATGAGATAAATAATGTTTTCTTTTTATGTAAGAGAAGAACTTGAGTAGCTTAAAAATCTCATAGCTATTTGAATACATATCTGTATATCTAATGGGAAGAACAGACGTTTCTAACACAGTAATAAGGGATGCTTGCCACAAAAGCATACGGACAGAGTATTCTTAAATGCTTGGAAGAGTCTTCCACAATGTGACTTATTTTCACAAGGAATAGAGGTGGGGCTGGAGCTGGAGGAAATTCCATAAAATAGAAGAGAATAGATTTCTAAGAATACATAGCTACTCTCCTGTATTTAAAATAGTGATTTGAAAAAAATTGACCCTTATATATAGGAATCTAAGAAGTAAAAGGTAAAAGATAGCTTTTTAAGCTATATTATATCTATTAAATCATTTGAGAATATAATTAACTGTAATTATAAAGTTCTGACTACTTTCACCTATCCACACTCCTTCTCCATGCAATAACCTCAAAGCTTATCACATTTCTTCCCCAAAGTAAAGTCTTGAAAATATTAATTTATACTTTAACATTCCCTGAGGATGTAGCCTGGGATAACAATACCAGTGACTGACAAAGTGGGATGAGTACTTTCTGTGCTAGCGTAACCTGAAATCTGTCATCCGCATCCACAGAAAACTTCAAACCAGTCTCATTTAACAAGTGGCCAAAGCAGAGTGTTACTACCTCAAACGCCTATATGGCAGTACTCCTCCATTCCAGGGCTATGTTGTAGCAGAATTTGCCTGCAGTTCTGAGATCTCCAGGTGTCTCTTATCCTTCCTTTCAGATGATGAAAACATCTGTTACCAAACACCTATATTCATTCATTCATTAATTCATCCAAATCCACATGTCATCTACCCACAATGCCAGCCACTTACACTCAACATATTGTCTTTGAAGATTCTCCCCCTTTTAAAAGCACTCAATGGAACTTTTGCTAGTGACCCATTGAGCCGTCAAGAAGGGGCAGAGTAAAAACACCACTCTTGGGTGAAGCAGCAACTTGTGTTTTTTATTTCAATCGGTGTTGTTGTGACAAGAGATTCTGAAAAAAGAAAGACAAAGAAAATTAATCTGTGTCAGAAAGGTTGTAGATATCTGGGATAGAGATAAGGAACAGAGGGCTAGAAATATCACTCAGTGGTTAGGAGTGCTTGATGCTCTTGCAGAGGACCTGAGTCAGTTCCCAACAGCCATGTCATCAGGTAGCTCATAACCACCTATAATGCCAGTTCCAGGGGATCCAATGCCTTCTCTGGCCTCTTCTTGCACATGGCGCATATATAGATGAGCAGGCATGTACACACACATAAATAAAATGAAAAAAAAATTAAAAAGAAAGAAATAGATTCTACTCCAGAGTAATGACCTGTTTTGATTTGTCCTGGATGGGAGTAGAGATAGGGAGAGGTTCCTGTCATACAAAACTTTAACCAGAAAAATCCCAGACCAGCTATGATGAATTAGCCACCATGTCCTTTCAAGGCAATTATGATCAAAGAAAAACTCCAATGTTTTGTCCATCACTAACTCCAGTATACAAAAGAATGCCTAACAATGAAAACTATCTGCTCACTGACAAACCACACAAATGACTTAAAAATATTGAGAGGACACTTTGGAAAGGTAGGTTCATTCATTCAACAAATACTTATGAAGGGGCTACAGAAATGATCACCAGATAACAATGAAGAGTAAAACCAGACATGTTGCCTGTGCTTATGGTACTTACAGTAATAGAAAGACAGGCATTTAAATAATTACAACAAAATCAGTGGCTACTATGGGACCATATAGTAGGAGAACCTCCTCTAGTGCATTGATTACAGAAGACCCTCTAAGACCAAGTGACATTAAAGGTGAAACTCTTAGGATGACTAGGAATGATGAAAGTGGCTGTGGAGTAGAAAGGTAAATGATTTAAGTCAAATGAGTTCTGGAAAGACACTCTCTAGGTGGGAGGAAATGGCTTTAACAGCCCAAGTTCATTCCCAGGTGCTTCACTTATCCCAGGCCATCATGTCACTCTAATGCCCAATACCTGCTTCTCTTTAGACATCCTACTCAAAGATCATTTTTTTTCTCTGAAGCCTTTCCTGTCCTTCCCAAGCAGAATGACCATTTCATGTGGGACAGAAACACAATGGTCAGCAATTCCTGCTTTAAATATCTTCAGAATATCATTAATTTGTGTCTCTGGTCCTCCTTACAGCTACTTGGGGCCACGTAACCACATACTCTACTGCTCTGGGTCAAAACGGTTATGAGAGGTTAAGTCTTTGCTCTGTCACTTTCTCCTCATACTCCAGCCAAATGATTCTCAGTGCCCTATAGTGAAAGATCCAGCAGGTCATTGTGACACAAACTCACCCGTCCTGAGCAGACCCACTACAAACTGAAGTGAACAAGAAGTATACTTTTTGTTCTGCTTAATCTTGGAGATCTGAGAGTTCATTTGTTACTGCAACTAGCAATAATCACCCTGATTATTGCATTGTCTTCTACCCTGATTATATCTCAGCTCCATTTTTCTTTTGCTGTACTGGGTCATAGTGCCATTTTTAATTATTTAGTTCATTGATTTGTTTGCGTGAATGTCTCCCTCTATGAGAAACTAAGTTCCATGATGTATCTTATTTCTCTCTGAGTATTCAGAAGCTAGCACAATGCTTAGTACACACACATATTTAACTGTTTGATGAAAGAATGAATAAATGAACATGAATGCCCAACCTTCTGGGCTTTCTTGCTTTCCCTTTAAAACCCAGGCCCATGCTGGAAAGAAAAATCACACTTTCAGGTTTTTCTTAGCGTAGTTTTGTATTGAATCTTAAGGTTAAAAAATAGTATGAGTGTAGGGTCAGGTTTCTACTCTATAGATTCTGAATTCTCCAATAACAATGAGAAGCTTTCTTCATTGAGTCCCCAAAGCCTCTCCCTTGAAACACATGTACTGTTTAGTTCAGTAGGTCCAGGGTTTGCCTCTGTTTTTACAGCTCTCATATGCAAAAGTCACTCTAATGAGCAACATCTTTCCACACCCAGGTGACTGAGAAACACTGATGAGTGAATAAGACCCAGAAGCTTCACCGAGTGTCTTTTCCTCCTGTTCTGTCCTGAACCCTCCACTATTTTTTGCTCACAATACCATCGTGTGTCCAGTCCCAAACCCTCCCACCTAGATCCTTCTATTTCTAGCTAACAGCAGCTAAAACTTGACTCTGTTGTTTCCAATTTCCTAAGCTTTGAAAGGGTTCACACTTCAGTTCTGGTGTCTGGCCTGCAGTGATCACCTAGTTCATAGCTGGTTTGCTGGAGAGGAATGATTATCACTCTTAAGTTTCCAGAACTGGTCCTGGAGCTTTTTATGAGGTCAGGAGAATCCTCCCTATCTCTCCTTTGTAGGGCACTGCACCATACCCAGAACAAACCTGAAGTGAAAATTTGAACTCTGTGGAGGTATTCACAGTAATAGAAACATGTTAAATAAGAGAGGAGATACACAACAAGCTTTAAGAAGTGACTACATGAGAAAAAGTATGATAGACTGTGTTCACCGTGCTTGTATGATGTACAAGTCTTTGTAAAAGGAAACAGCTTTTCTTCCATGTTCACTGGCCAGTAAAAATAACATAAACTAAAGCAAAAAAAAATAGAACTAGGTTATAATAAAGAGATACTCACTGCATGCAAGTGCCTTAAAGTTAAACTTGGACATCGCTCATGTTCTGGGAATAAAGACAGTTATGCTTCATTTCAGCATGGAGTCCAACATTTATACTTCACCCCATTGGCTCAACACAATGAAGTCTGTGGCCGAGCAGACAGCTGTGCATTCTATATAGAATCCTTAGGGGCTTGTTCAGTTCCTAGCATAGACTACTTAGTATTTGATCATTGCATAAGTTCTCAACAAATATCCATTTTTTTCATGAAAATCAAATCCTTTATGTAGAGATTTGTCAATTCTTGATTATCTGATGAGATTTCATCCTGAGGGAAAGATAAAAGGGAAAGTCCAGGCCAACAGGACACACATATGATGCATGTATATATCATATAGGTATATTATTTATAGCTAAGATTTATTATAGGCATTTACTAATGATATTAGGCCTTATTAAAAATATATAAATTACTCATAAGGGAAAAAGACGTGGATTCTGGAGAAATTCTTGCATGTAGACCATGATTTATTATAGCTCTTTTAATTAATTTATTTTTATTAGTACTTTGAGAATTTCATACAGTGTATTGTGATCATATAAAACCCCCTCCCTCAACTCCTCCAAGGTCCACTCTCATTCCATACCCACCTAATTTTGTGTCCTTTTTCTTTTATCCATTAAGTTCAATTTGTGCTGCTCATATACTCTTGAGTGTGTGTCCATCAACTGGAGCATGGTCGACCTACCAGGGATCACACTCTTAAAGAAAACTGCCTCTCCCTCTTCCAGCAGCTATCAATTATCAATAGCTCTTCAGCTTATATTGGAACATCATGCCCATCTCCCTTCTTTATGCTGGAATTTTGTCTAGCTTGAGATTATACAGGTCTTGTGCATGTTGTCACAACCACTATGAGTTCATAAGTTCACCTATCCTCTTATGTTCAGAAAATGCTGTTTCGCTGTGCAAAAATTTGGCCATGTGACCCTGAAAGTATGACACTAAAAGCCTGTGATGGTGCCAGAAGATCACAGGGGAACAAAGGCCAAGGCCTGGGCCAAAGCCAGCTGCCAGGAGCCCTGTCCCCAGCTATGGACAAAGAACAGCCAGCCCTCCCCTTGGGGCATAACTTTTGCACTCTCCTTCCCGCCCAACTCTCAGGAGCCAGAATGGGCACCCTGGAAGCAGGCTGCTCTTTCTTCTCCAAGGGCCTGAGAGTGCTCTCTCAGGTAGGGGCTACCAGGAAAGTTTTGGAGTACAAAAGGGAGAGAGAAGGAAGGAGGGCCTTTGCAGGGGAGATTCAACAGCACATGCATGCCAGGAACACTGGAACAATTTTAGGGCATGCAAACTGGCTGAGTGTAGGGTTTGTCTGCAAGATTGTGCTCCTATAGCTCTACACAACACTCCTCCAGACTGTCAGCAACAGCAGCAGCTGCTTGTGAAGGGGGCCATAGGAAAAGCAAATCAGCTCTTAGAGGAGGCAGGGGGATCAGGACTTCAAGGTCATCCCTAGGTACATAGTTAATTCTAGCCTGATCTACATGAGACCCTGTTTCAAAAACAAAACAACAACAAACTCCTCTACAAAGTGTCATATAAGTGACAGATGCCACACATCATGTCGATATGTGTGAAAAGGTGTTAACTATTAAAATATTGGAAGTAATACAGAAAAAAAAAGAAAATGCTGTTTCATTGTAGTTATCTACTGCCTCTGACTCTTAGTCTTTCCACCCACTCTTCCAGGATGATCCCTAGGCAGTAGGAGGAGAGGATGTGATGTAGGTGTTTCATTTAGCTAAGCATTCTTCAGTCTCTTATTCTCTGCAACTTGACCAGTTGTGAGTCTGTGTGTTAACTGCTGTCTACTGCCAAAATAAGCTTCTCTACTGAGGTTTGAGAGATTCACTAATCTATGGGTATAATGATAAGTCACTAGGAATCGGTACAACACTATGTTCATTTAGCAGAATAAAAGTAATAGGTTCTCCCCTAGGGCCTGTGACCTGTCTAGTCACAGGTTCTTGGCCCAGGTAACAGTGCCAGGTGTCAGTTTCATCTTGGAGAATGGGCCTTAAATCCAGTCATAAAGTGGTTTAAAGGTTACTCTCATGACATTTGTGTCTCTGTTGCACCAGTGGGCATATCTTGCCAGGCCAGTCATTATTGTAGCTCACAGGATTCACAACTGGGTAAGACTAGTGATTATTTTTCTCCTGTAGTAGCATGCCTAGTACCTTCCAGCATTTTAAAACCTGACTAGCAAGGATGAAGTTATCAAGTCAGTACCAGCTTCATTTCTCCATGTTCGATGGTTCAAGTATCTGTTGTCCTCAGTATTAGGGACAGTATTACTGTCAAGTTCTGGA